GGGTGCCCAGGGCATTGCATGGGCGCGCAGGGCATTACATGGGTGCAGGGAGCTGCATGGGTGCAGGGAGCTGCATGGGCGCACAGGCCAGTGCATGGGTGTGTGGGGAGCTGCACAGGGTGCCCAGGGCATTGCATGGGCGCGCAGGGCATTGCATGGGTGCAGGGAGCTGCATGGGCGCACAGGCCAGTGCATGGGTGTGTGGGGAGCTGCACAGGGTGCCCAGGGCATTGCATGGGCGCGCAGGGCATTGCATGGGTGCAGGGAGCTGCATGGGTGCACGGGGCATTGCATGGGTGCACAGGGAGCTGCATGGGTGTGCGGGGAGCTGCATGGGGTGCCCAGGGCATTGCATGGACGCACGGGCTAGTGCATGGGTGCAGGGAGCTGCGTGGGTGCAGGGATCTGCATGGGCGCACAGGGCACTGCATGGGTGCACAGGATGCTGCAAGGGTGTGCAGGGTGCTGTGTGGGTGCACAGGGTTGCATGGGTGCTGAGGGGGTGTGCAGGAAGCCGCATGGGTGCGTGGGACACTGCACACGTTGCTGCAAGGGTGCATGGGTGCATGCAGGGGTTGCATGGGTGCCGAGTGGGTGTGCAGGGGACTGCATGGGTGCGTTGGGTGCTGCACGGGTGCACATGGGCGCTGCATGGGTGCATTGGGTGCTGCATGGGTGGGGGGCTTGAGGACATGCTGGGGCACAGGGTGGCACCCAGTGCTCGTGGTGACACCGGGTGACACCTTGTGCCCCTCTCGCTCCTGCAGGCTACTCGGTGGCCGTGGGCGAGTTCAGTGGGGACGAGACCCAAGGTAGGGATGGGTGTCCCTGGGTGCGGGTGTCCCCAGGTGTCCCCAGGTGTCCGCGGGTGCCCTGGGGACACGTGGCCCTGGCACCCACGTGTCCCCATGTCCCCTGGCTCCTCGCAGACTTCGTGGCCGGTGTCCCCAAAGGCAACCTCACCTACGGATACGTAAGGCGACGGGAATGGGTGCTGTGGGTTGGGTGCTGTGGAGCTTTGGGTGCTGCATTTTGGGGTGCTGCACTTTGGAGTGCTGCAGGTTTTGGGTGCTACGGGTTTTGGGTTCTGCAGGTTTTGGGTGCTGCAGTTTTGGATGCCATGGGATTTTGGGTGCTGCAGTGTTGGGTGCTGTGGGGTTTTGGGTGCTGCAGTGCGGGGTGCTGCAGTTTTGGGTGCCATGGGGTTTTGGGTGCTGCACTTCGGGGTGCTGCGGGCAGGGGGTTCCACCAAGGTGCCCGGACGCCTGGGCCCCTGGCGAGCGTGTCCCCTGCGCCAGGTCACCATCCTCAACGGCACCAACATGAGGTCCCTGTACAACTTCTCGGGGGAGCAGGTGAGAGGCCGGGTGCCCCTGGGGTGCCTGGGTGCCCATAGGGGCTGCAGGGTGCCCCATACAGCCTGGGGGTGCCTGGGAGGGTGTAGGGA